AAAAGCTGGAGCAAACATCATTCTATCAGTAAAACATGAAAAGCATTCCCTTTATTTAATCCTTTCTATTTAGTTTTAAATGGCAGTTCTCTAATATAGTTAGCACATAAGGAAGAGAGAAACACATAAGGAAATACATAAGGAAAAGGAAAAATCTAGATGAATCTACAAATAAATGTTTGATATGAGAAAATTCAGTAAGGTGGTTGGATATAAAATCAAATACATTTTTATAAGGCAGCAATAAACAGACTATATATACTATATACCCATCTATTTAATAACTACAACAAAAATACAAAGTACCTGGGAGTAAAGTTTTTAAAAAGACTTGTAAGACCTTTATTTAGAAAAAAATTTAAACTTTGTAAAATACCTCAATAATAGTAAAGAGGTATCATGTTCATGGGTATTGTAAAATTATGAATTATCTTCAAATTTATCCACAGATTCAATGCAATCTTAAATAAAATTTATCTTATTATTATTATTATTTTTGAGATGGAGTCTCACTCTGTTACCCAGGCTGGAGTGCAGTGGCATGATCTTGGCTCACTGTGGCCTCTGTCTCCTGGTTTCAGGCGATTCTCCTGCCTCAGCCTCCTGAGTAGCTGGGATTACAGGCATGTGCCACTATGCCCAGCTAATTTTTTTTTTTTTTTTTTTTTTTTAAGTACAGATGGGGTTTCACCATGTTGGCCAGGCTAGTCTTGAACTTCTGACCTCAAATGATTCGCCCACCTCAGCCTCCCAAAATGCTAGGATAGCGTGAGCCACTGTGCCCGGTCCCAAATAAAATTTCAGTAGGAGATCAAAAGTGCATGAAGGGCCAAAATATGTCTAAAGAGGAATAAGGTCAAAAGGCTTAATCTAACATACAAAATGTATTATAAAGATAACATGTTGGCATATAAATAAACACACCAATAGAGACCACAGGCATAGATCATGCATAAATGAGAATATAATACATGACAGAAGTGAATGGAAATCATTGAAGGAAGTATGGATTTTTTTAGTAAAGTACGGGACAGTTTGTTATCCACATTTAAAAAGAAAACGAAATTGAATCCTGCTATGGTCTGAATGTGTCCTCCAAAATTCATGTATTCGAAACTTAATCCCCAATGCAGTACTGTTGGGAGGTAGGGCCTTTTGGTAGGTGTTTAGGTCATGAAGGCAAAGCCCTCACAAATGGATTAAAGTCATTATTAAAAGGCTTCATGGAGGGAGTCTGGCTCTTTTTTTTGCCCTTCTATCCCTTTGCCAGATGAAGAAGGCACAGAGTTCCTCCCCTCTAGAGAATGTAGCAACAAGGTGCCATCTTGGAGGCAAACAGCTGGTTCTCACCAGACACCAAATCTGCTGGTGTCTTATCTTGGACTCCTGCCTCCAGAACTGTTAGAAATAAGTGCCTGTTTTTTTTTTTTTTTTGAGACGGAGTCTCGCTCTGTCGCTCAGGCTGGAGTGCAGTGGCGCGATCTCGGCTCACTGCAAGCTCCGCCCCCCGGGTTCAGGCCATTCTCCTGCCTCAGCCTCCTGAGTAGCTGGGACTACAGGCACCTGCCACCGTGCCCGGCTAATTTTTTGTATTTTTAGTAGAGACGGGGTTTCACTGTGTTAGCCAGGATGGTCTCGATGTCCTGACCTAGTGTCTGTTTTTTAATAAATTATCCAGCCTCAGGTATTTTGTGATAGCAGCATAACAGCACAAATGAACTAAGACAGATCCCAAGCTCACTCCAAATAGAAAAATCAGTTCCAGATGACTTAAATATGAAAGACAAACCTTCAAACACTTCAGAGAGAAATATAAGAAAATACAACTTTGCAGTAAGGAAGACTTTTTTTTTTTTTTGAACTGGGGTCTCGCTCTGTCATCCAGGATGGAGAGAAGTGGCGCAATCAAGACTACAGCCTTGAATTGCAGTACTCAAGCAACCATTCTCACCTCAGCCTCCTGTGTAGCTAGAGCTACTAGTGAGCACCACTACGTCTGGCTTTATTCATTTATTTATTTATTTATTTTGGTAGAGATGAGACCTCGCTATGTTGCTCAGGCTGGTCTCAAACCCCTGGTCTCGAGCAATCCTCTCACCTCGGCCTCCCAAAGCACTAGGATTATAGGCATGAGCCACTGCCCCCAGCCAGGAAGAATTTTTAAACAAAAAGAAAAAAAGTACTAACCAAAGAGTAAAAGACTAATACATTTGACATTTAAATAATAAACGCATATTAATAAAAAAACTAGAAGACATTTTTAACATTTTAATGAACAGCTAAAGAATAGTCTCAGAAATATGTAGGCCAGGCATGGTGACTCACAAGATAATCTAAGCACTTTGGGAGGTCGAGGCGGGAAGATCGCTTGAGCCCGGGAATTTGAGACCACTCTAGGCAACATAGTGAGGCCCTGTGTCTACAAAAAAAGTAAAAAATTAGCTGGGTGTGGTGGTGCACACCTGTAGTTCCAGTTACTTGGGAGGCTTAGGTGGGAGGATCACTTAAGCCTGGGAGCTTGGGGCTGCAGTGAACCATGATCACACCACTGCACTCCAGCCTGGGTGACAGAGCAAGACCCTGTCTCAACAACAACAAAAAAGGCTGAGCATGATGGCTCATGCTTGTAATCCCAGCACTTTGGGAGGCTGAGGTGGGCAGATCATTTGAGGCCAGAAGTTCGAAACCAGCCTGGCCAACGTGGCAAAATCCTGTCTCTACTAAAAATACAAAAATTAGCCAGGCGTAGTCGTGCATGCCTATAATCCCAGTTACTAGGGACACTGAGGCAGGAGAATAATTTGAAACCAGGAGATGGAGATTGCAGTGAGTGGAGATCACACCAAGGTACTCCAGCCTTGGCAACAGAGCAAAACTCTGTCTCAAAAAAATCCCAAAAACGGCCGGACGCAGTGGCTCATGCCTGTAATCCCAGAACTTTGGGAGGCCGAGGTGGGTTTATCACCTGAGGTCAGGAGTTTGAGACCAGCCTGGTCAACATGGTGAAATCCCATCTCCACTAAAAATACAAAAATTAGCTGGGCATGATGGTGTGTGCCTGTAATTCCAGCTACTGAGGAAGCTGAGGCAGAAGAATCGCTTGAATGGGGACCTGGGGAGGTGGAGGTTGCTGTGACCCGAGATCGTGCCACTGCACTCCAGCCTGGGTGACAGAGCCAGACTCCATCTCAAAAAAAAAAAAGGAAGAGGCCGGGCGCAGTGGCTCAAGCCTGTAATCCCAGCACTTTGGGAGGCCTAGACGGGCGGATCATGAGGTCAGGAGATCGAGACCATCCTGGCTAACACGGTGAAAACCCGTCTCTACTGAAAAAAAAAAAACAAAAAACTAGCCGGGCGAGGTGGCGGGCGCCTGTAGTCCCAGCTACACGGGAGGCTGAAGCAGGAGAATGGTGTAAACCCGGAAGGAAGAGCTTGCAGTGAGCTGAGATCCGGCCACTGCACTCCAGCCTGGGCGACACAGCGAGACTCCATCTCAAAAAAAAAAAAAAAAAGGAAGAATTTCTTATAAATTAATAACAAAAAGACAACCTAAAAGAAAGATAGGTTAAAGATATGAATGAATAGGCATTTCATAGGATGGGGAGGGGAAATACTGAGAAAAAACAAACACATAAAATTATACTTAAACCGTCAGGAAACCGATATACAATTGATATCATTTTATACCTATTGGATGGGGTAGAATTGATATCTGAGAAAGTGTTGGTGAAAAAGTGGTCAAAGGATACTTACACTATTGGTAGAAATACAGAAGAACACTGAAAAATAATTTGGTATTATTTTCTGAAGTTGAACATAAAAATACATTAGCTTTAAAAGCAGGAAACTAGAAATAACTCAGAAGTCCATGGACAAGAGAATCAATATGTTGTTGTATATTCGCACAATTAAATATTATACAGTAACCAAAATGAATGAACTTAAACAAAGGTAAAACTTAGAAACATAATGCTGAATAACAAAAGCAAGTCCCAGAAACAGGACAGTAATTTTTGCCTGATCAAAACCAAGCAAACCTAAACAATGTGCTATTTTAAGAAACAAAAATACGTGATACATTTTTTTAAAAGACAAGGAAATGACAACTATAAAATTCAGATTAGTGGTTGCTTCTAAAGGAAGGCAGAAAGAATGGTGCTGGAGAGGGGCACAGAGACACCTTCAATAGTATCATTAATGCTCTAGTCCAGTGGTAGCCAAATTATGACCCACTGCCTGTTTTTGTAAATAAAGTTTTATTGGAACATAGCCACATTCATTCATTCATTCACCTATTATCTATGACTGCTTTTGAGCTGCAATGACAGAGTTGAGTAGCTGCAATACAGACTTCATAGTCTGTATATACTAAAATATTTACTATCTGGTCCTTCAGAAGAAACATTTGCAAACCTCTGCTCAGGGTGTGTTGGATTCATAAGTGCACATTTTATTATTATACCTTATAAGCCATATCTTAAACGTATTTTTCTGTACATATAAAGTGTTAATCATTAGATGCTTTTTTCAAAGAACTTTCACATGTTTTATTAATTTGGAAATTACAAGTGCTCACATTATATATTGGCTTTTCTCTATACGTTTTAATCATACATGTATAACTCAAACTTATGAAAAATATAAACAAACAAAAAATTGAAACTGTTAGAGGCATCTGGTTCTCATGAACACTGAATACTCTAACAAACCAATAAAATGCATACCTGAAAAGGTTAAGAGTCTTAATAGCTATTTTCTTGTTAAATCTGCCTGTAAGGTAGATTACTCCCCCCAAAATTCCCTTCCCCTTTAATATGTAATTTTCTTTCAAGACCTTAGCCTAAAAAAAAATCATATAACTAACTGATTGCCTTCCTCTATAAAATCATTCACCAACTATAGAAATTTGCCTTACTAATGTACTTAAGGAATATTACATAATCAGAGGGCAACTAATTCCTCTTAGAAAATTTTAGCAAATCTAAATAGTCGATCCTTACTGAGTTAGCAAATCCACAGCACAAGGAAGTGGTGGAAGAAGACGCTGAATTACTTCCTCAGTAAGGAGATCACCACAGTGGGAAACAAAGCTCTTGATAGCTGAAAAGGAAAACAGACTTTTACTTGGGCATACTGTAATCAACCATGAAAGGCACATTTGATTATGGTATAACATTAGCATTCTTGTTAGAGTAATAAAGCAATTTGCTAAAATAAAAAAATTCCTGAAACTGTAGTATAAAAAGGTACATAGTGCCTTCTACTCCTAATCATACTTAAAAAAAAAAAACTCTCTAGGATTACTAAGATGAAGCAATAACCGTATTCACAAAATGCTGCTGTCCTAAGGTTTTACTTTTACTCAGCCCTCAAGCTTAGAAGCAAAAAAAAAAAAAATCAGCTTAGACTCTCAAGTTTTCCAGCTCTACAACTAGTTCCGTGGAATCACACTGACTTTCAAGTCAGCATGTTAGGTTTTTACAGATGTTATCTGAAACAAATAGTGTGTGCTACCACTCCCGGCTAGTTTTTGTATTTTTAGAAGAGACGGGGTTTCACCATGTTGGCCAGGCTTGGTCTCGAACTCCTGGCCTCAAGTGACTGATCTGCCTGCCTGGGTCTCCCAAAGTGCTGGGATTATACGAGTGAGACACAGCGTCCAGCCCGAAATAAATAACTTTCTATAATGAATTACTTTTCTACATAGAATAAGATGTACGTAGAATAAGATGAGTATTTTTAAGTCAGACTGGGCCAGGCGCAGTGACCCACACCTGTAATCCTAGCACTTTGGGAGGCTAAGGAGAGCAGATCACCTGAGGTCCGGAGTTTGAGACCAGACTGATCAACATGAAGAAACCCGTCCCTACTAAAAATACAAAATTAGCCGAGCATGGTGGTGCATGCCTGTAATCCCAGCTACTCAGGAGGCTGAGGCAGGAGAATCACTTGAACCCGGGAGGCAGGGGTTGTGGTGAGCCAAGATCGCGCCATTGCACTCCAGCCTGGGCAACAAGAACGAAACTCCGTCTCAAAAACAAAAAACAAAGTCAGACTGATCAATTCTTCTCTCTTTCTCTCTCTCTCTCTCTTTCTCCCTCCCTGCCTCCCTCCTGCCCCCACCTCCCCCACCCCTGGACCCTTTAAGACAGAATCTCACCATTGCCCAGGCTGGAATGCAGTGGTGCAATCACAACTCACCAAAGCCTCCACCTCCCAGGCTCAGGTAATCCTCCCACCCCAGCCTACAGGCATGCTCCATCATGTCTGGCTAGTTTTTGCATTTTTTGTAGAGAGAGGATTTCACCATGTTGTCCAGGCTGGTCTTGAACTCCTGAACTCAAGCAATCCACTCATCTCAGCCTCCAAAAATGCTGGGATTAGTCGTGAGCCACTGAATCTGGCTAAGATCAATTTCAAAAGTGGTCTTTAAGAGTAAAAATGCCTTGAATAAAAACCAAAACCAATGCTTCCACATCTTTCCAGGGATCTCACCCTTCATGGTGAAACATTATTATTTTATTTTATTTTTGAGACAGAGTTTTACTCTTGTCATCCAGGCTGGAGTGCAATGGCACATTCTCAGCTCACTACAACCTCTGCCTCTCGGGTTCAAACGATTCTCCTGTCTCAGCCTCCCGAGTAGCTGGGATTACAGGCACCTGCCACCACATCCGGCTATTTTTTTTGTATTTTTAATAGAGACGGAGTTGCACCATGTTGGCCTGGCTGGTCTCGAACTCCTGACTTCAGGTGATCCGCCCGCCTCAGCCTCCCAAAGTGCTGAAATTACAAGTGTGAGCCACTGTGCCCAGCCAAAATATTACTTTTAACAGTCTATATATTGTAGAAGGTACAACTTTCATATACAGGTGACCCTTGAACACCACAAATGTGAACTTCCCAGGTCTATTTATCCGTGGATTTTTTTCAACAGATGCCACACCGAGTGTGCCTACCTCTCCTGCCTCCCCTTCCACCTGCTCCACCTCTTCTGCATCTGCCTCCGCTGAGAGAAGTAGATCAACCCCTCCTCTGCCTTCTCAACATAAAGACGATGAGGATGAAGACCTTTATGATGAGCTACTCCCGTGTAATGAATAGTAAATATATTTTCTCTTCCCTATGATTTTCTTAATAACATTTTTCTTTTGTCTAGCTTACCCTAAGAATACAGTATATAATATATACAACATACAAAATATGTGGGGCTGGGTGTGGTGACTCACGCCTGTAATCCCAACACTTTGGGAGGCTGAGGTGGGAGGATTGCTTGAGGTCAGGGGTTCAAGACCAGCCTGGGCAGCATAGTGAGACTCCCTCTCTACAAAAAGTTTAAAAATTAGCTGGGCATGGTGGCATACACCTGTGGTCTCAGCTACTTGGGAGGCTGAGGTGAGAGCATCACTTTAGCCCTGCAGGCCAAGACTGCAGTGAGCTGTGTTCACACCACAACATTCTAGCCTGGGCAACAGTGAGACCCTGTTTAAAAAAAAAAAAAAAATAAAAAAAAAAAAAAAAAAAAGGTGGTAATTGACTATTTATGTTATCAGTAAGGTTTCTGGTCAACAGTAGGATATTAGATACATTTTTGGGGAGTTAAAAGTTAGACACAGATTTTTTGACTTTGAGGGGCACTGGCATCTTTAACCTCTATGCTGTTTAAGGGTCAACTGTATAGGCTAAATGGAAACCATTCTTAACGGTAATTAAACCAAACCTTAGTATTTCTGAAAAGAGGAATGAATGCTTACCTAAGACAAAACAATGTTGACAGTTTTTAACTGGACTGCACCTAATAAAACATGTATCTTAAGAACTCTCAAATCTGGTTTATTATATCATACACCAGTTTATCATTACCAATTAATCAGTTAAAATTTTTTTGTTCAGCAACAACAAAAAAAATCATTAGTGGCATATCCCCCTGCCTCACGTTAAATAAAACATACAAGTACATGTTAAAGATAAAAGGTGGGTAAAAAGCCAAAGGAAAGGGAGAGACAAGACTAAATCCAACCTACCACACAGTGCACCAGCTCGTCCTTCCAGGGTTACCTGCCATGTAAACGAATCTCCTCGGCTCTTTTCTGTTTCTAGATCTTTAGGAGATGCTGGAAAGACACACTTCCACAACAGCAGAACTCGAGCAAGGTGATGGCTAACAACTGCAGGACCTGTAATTTATTCAACTTGTCACTTGAAAGAGAATCCAAGGTTGTCACTCTTTAAAACTCTATTATTAAGCAGGAACTTCTCTCCTAAACATTTTAATTCATTATTGCAATATTTTGTCCCTTCTTCAGGTTCCAAATTATCTTCAGGTTCCAAATTATTACTGAATGAATTATTATCTGAAGGTGCCGGAGTACAGAGAGGAAAAACAAGGAACTAATGGTATAGGCTGGGCTCTAGCGTCAGCTCCTCCACTACTGATATGTCGCCTTTGAGACTCAGTTTCATCTACATATTAAACGAAGCTAAAACCCCCTGTAATGCTTGTCTTTAAGGGCTTGTCAGGTCCAAATGATAGAATGCACTTTAAAGAACCCTGAAAAGCTGTAATGGACCACATAAATGCAAGGTACAATTATTATAGTAACAAACAACACAGCATGCTTTTTGAGACAGGTTCTTTCTCTGTCCCCCAGGTTGGAGTTTAGTAGTGCAGTGGCATGATCACAGCTCACTGCAATCTCAATCTCAACCCCCCTGAGCTTAAGTGATCCTTCCACCTCAGCCTCCTGAGTAGCTGGGACTACATGTGTGTGCCACCACACCCAGCTAATTTTTGTATTTTTTTGTAGAGATGGGGTCTTGCCATGTTGCCCAAGCAGGTCTGAACTCGTGGGCTCAAGCAATCCACCCACTTCAGCCTCCCAAAGTGCTGGAATTACAGATGTGAGCCAACTGTATTCTTGATCTTCAGAATAATGCTACCTTCTGATAGCAACTTGTTCCAGGTCAAAACTCAGATATAAAATGTCTGAATAAAATATGTTTTGTTAAAAAAAGGTTTCAGAGCAACATTTATGAACTGAAGGAATCATGACACAAACCCAGTAATAATACAAAACAACGTGCAATAACATTATCAATTTTTTAAAAACCCAAACCCATAGCTTTTCTCCCCAGGTACTCTTCTTTAAATTTCTGGAGTTACCTTAAACTTCTTCAATAAGCACTCTCTACTTCTTACTCCCACATTCCGCTGACTGTATGTCTTTCTTCTGTTCCAAACCCATAGCTCAGAACTGCATTTGGCTTTGGAGGGAGACTGCCTAGATTAATATCCTGGCTCCATCCACTTATTAGTTGTGTAAACCTGGATGAGTTATTTAACCTTTTTGTGCCTCAATTTCTTCATCCACAAATGGGGAGAGTAACAGTATTTTATTCAAAGGACAGTTTCTGAGGTGTATATCAGTTTATACACAGACCAGCACTTAGAGCTGGGCAAGGTGGCTCATGACTGTAATCCCAGCACTTTGAGAGGCTGAGGCTGAAGGATTGCTTGAGGCCAGGCATTTGAGACCAGCCAGGTCAACATACCAAAATCTCTCTACAAAAAAGTAAAAAGTTAGTTGGGAGTGGTAGCACATGCCTGTAGTCCCAACTACTTGGGAGGCTGAGGCAGAAGGATCATTTGAGCCTAAGAGATCAAGGCTGCAGCAAGCTATGGTCTGACTGTGCCCCTGTAACCAAACAAGGGCCTTTCTTTAAATAAATAAATACTTATTATTATAATGTATCTAGCAAACACAACACACATACACACACACTTTATGAGCCATCCACAGAGAGACAAGATATGGAGGAATCTGGAAATCCAAGTTTTTTTATATGGCATCAGATAAACTGGGAAGTGTATCAAAAAAGGTTTAAGTGTGTAGTTCACATTCAAGGAATGAATGTGTTTTGTGTTTACATTAGTTCACAGTGAAATAATGAAGAAAATTATAAATTATAAAGGGAATGATAAAAACAGAGAAGACATGTTTAAAATGCAAAGCAAAAATTAACAAAGCACTAAGACTGCTGTCTAAAACTCATTCCCAGCTGGGCACCGTGGCCCATGCCTGTAATCCAAGCACTTTGGAATGGCAAGGCAGGAGGATCACTTGAGCCCTGGAGTTCAAGATCAGCCAGGGAAACAGCAAGATCCCCTCTCTACAAAAAAAATTTAAAAATTAGCTGAGTGTAGAGGTGCAAACCTATAGTCCTAGCTAGTTAGGAGGCTGCGCAGGAGGACTGCATGAACCTGGCATTCAAGGCTGCAGTGAGCTATGATGGTGCCACTGTACTCCAGTCTGGTAACACGGTGAGACCCTGTCTCCTAAAAAAATTAAAAAAAAAAAAAAAAAAAATTCCATTTCCCACAAAAGCAATCAAGGTTCCTTGGAGAAATGGCTGATGGCAAGCCTAAGGCAGAAAATGTACAATGTAAAACCTGGGACATCTTGCATGCAAAAACACATTATCAAAGAATGCTAGGTTCACGTTAAAAGGACAAATGAACCAACTTGAAGGGACTCCCAACGACCAAAGATGAGACAATTTGATGATCGAAAGGAATAATGATCGCAAGTGATTAAAACATGTAAATCTATAAAATTCCATGAGCTCATAATGATACCTAAAAACAAAAACCTCACTGGTCCCCCCTGAAAGTTGCTATGATACTAACGCATTCTAAAAATTGATAATAGCCCAGGTGCAGTGACTCACTCCTGTAGTCCCAGAACTTTGGGAGGTCAAGGCAGGCAGATTGCTTAAGTCCAGGAGTTTAAGACCAACCTGGGCAACATGACAAAACCCCATCTTTACAAAAAATTAGCCAGGCGTGGTGGTGCACAGTCCCACAAGAGGCTGAGGCAGGTGGATCACCTGAGCCTGCAGAGGTCGAGGCTGCAGTGAGTCATGATTGTACCACTGCACTCCAGCCTGGATGACAGAGTGAGACCCTGTCTCAAATAAATAAATAAATGAATAAGAATAAAAATTGACAATAAAGGGAAAGAACAGTTAAGAAAAATGAGTAAAACCCAAGAAAACAGAGTAATTAAACAAAACCTTAATTAAAACTTTTAATCCCTTTTTGTATGCTGATTATGAATATGCAGTAAAATATGATGTACAGGAGAAAGGACCTCTTGTTGTCTTCCTCCAACACAATTACCTCGTTTTAAAAGCTCTTGTTTATCAAAATGCGATTAGATAGTTTATTTCCTCCTTAATTCACCAGGAACTTCAATACGGCAGGCATGAATATCTAGCAATAAGCAAATAAAAGCTTGACTACATTATTCCCAGCACACCGTGAAATGATGATCTATGCTTTGGGCTAACAAACACTTTCTGTAAAGGGGCAGATAGTAAACATTTGAGGCTTTGAGAGCCACATACTTTCTGTTGCAATTACTCAACTCTGCCACTGTACACCTAAAGGTCATAGACAATCCACTAACAAGTGTGGTTGTACGCAAATAAAACTATGAATGCTGAAACATGACTTTCACATGATTCTCATGTATCACAAAATATATTTTTTTCCCAACCATTAATAAATATAAAAACTGTTCTTAGCTCACAGGCTCTGTAACAAATATTGATGGCAGGCCAAATTTGGCTCCTTGAGGCTAAACTTGATCTAGTTCAATAAATCTCTTTAATCATCTTAAGAACACTATTTAAAGTAGTTCTTCATTTATGACTGTTTATTCTCATTTAAGCTCCTTTAGGTCAAATTACTTTATAGGTGTCAAAATGATTTATTGGCCAAATCCAGCCAGTTGCTTTATTTTATTATTATTTATTATTTTTATTTTTCGAGACAGAGTCTTGCTCTGTCACCCAGGCTGGAGTGCAGTGGCATGATCTCAGCTCACTGCAACCTCTGCCTCCTGGGTTCAAGCAATTCTCCTGCCTCAGTCTCCCCTGTAGCTGGGACTACAGGCACATGCCACCGCACCTGGCTAATTTTTGTATTTTTTTTAGTACAAGCAAAGTTTCACCATGTTGGCCAGGCTGGTCTCGAACTCCTGACCTCAGATGATCCGCCCGCCTAGGCCTCCCAAAGTGCTAGGATTACAGGTGTGAGCCACTGCGCCCGACTTATTTGTTTTTGTTTTGTTTTGTTTTTGAGAAGGAGTCTTGCTCTGTCACCCAAGCTGGAGTGCAGTGGTGCAATCTCACTTCACTGCAACCTCCACCTCCTGGGTTCAAGCAATCTCTTGCCTCAGCTTGCCGAGTAGCTGGGACTACAGGCATGCGCCACCAGGCCCGGCTAATTTTTGTATTTTAGTAGAGACGCGGTTTCACCTTGTTGGCCAGGCTGATCTTGAACTCCTGACCTCAAGTGATCCACCCACCTCAGCCTCCCAAAGTGCTAGGATTATAAGCATGAGCCACCATGCCCTGCCTCAGCCAGTTGTTTTATATGTGAGCTATAATTTGTATGACAACAGAGACCTAAAATATAGGTGTGATAAAGTAATAAAATTAAGTTTCATTAGACTGGGCAATAAATAAATAAATAAATAAATAAATAAATAAATAAATACATAAATAAATAAATAAAGTTTTCAGTGGCTCATGCTTATAATCCTAACACTTTGGGAGGCCAAGGTGGAAGGACTGCTTGAGCCCACGAGTTCAAGATCAGCCTGGGCAACATAGTGAGACCCCATCTCTACAAAAAAATTTAAATATTAGCCAGGCATGATGTTGCACGCCTGTGGTCCCAGCTACCTGGGAGGCTTGGGTAGGAGGATCACTTGGGTCCAGGAGGTCAAGGCTGCAGTAAGCCATGATCATGCCACTGCACTCCAGCTCGTGTGACAGAGTGAGACCCTGTCTCAAAAATTTACAGGATATAAATAGTCATGACTGTAAAACAATTACTGTTTTTTAATAAATATAATTTAAGTGAAATTCAGTCCCTTCAATGTAGCAACCTTATTGGCTGTTATGAATCCTCAAACAATTATAGAACTGGATTCCCATGCTATGGATATGTTCTTTTGCCTATATTGTGGAAATTTTTTTTTCTGAAGATGGATGTCAATGATTTTTGAAAAAGCCACAGTCGTTCAGAGGTAAGCCTGAAAGATGATTAGTAAATCAGCTTGTCCTACTTGAGACTTACAATCTAGAGTCCAGAAGAGAAAATCAAGAGAGGTCTCAAAAGGTTTTAAGCAATAAAGAAAGTAAAAGGCTTTTTAAGGTGACTACTAGAAGAAAAATGTTTGTGTGGCTATTTAAATTCTAGTACGTATTAAAAGTTAGTTTCATCAAATCACATACAAGAATCCTTTCACTCAGAAAACACAAAGTATTTCAAGGTATGTAAACCTTCTACAGACTATTACCTAATGTCATCAGAGCAGCAATCAGCAACCATCCAGCTTGTGTGCGCTGAGCTGAAAGGCGACTGTTTTGAGCAGCAGAACACAGCAAATCCTCTGCTAATGTCATAATAATCTATTTACATATAGAAGAACAAGTTTTAACAAAAAGCATATCAGTTTATAAATTACTAAATGATAGCAGCTAATAATAATCTCTTGAATTAATTCTTACATAAAATAAATGTAAACGATAAAGAATTCTCATTCATGTAGACTACATAATAGGACTGTCATAAAGGAAACGATAAAAAATTAAGTTTTCAAGGTTAAATACTGGTATATGAGGTAGTACACAACAACCTCATAATTTTTTGTAGAGCACATGTGACAACAATGTAAGATTATTCAAGTATAGTTGTATAGAACTTGAATTTACTTTTAGTTTTGAGCAACCATCCTTTTAAATCCATAATTACCCAAAAAAGTTTTCTTACAAGAGTCTCTCTCTTAAAAATGCTACATACGGCCGGGTGCGGTGGCTCACGCCTGTAATCCCAGCACTTTGGGAGGCTAAGGCGGGTAGATCACAAAGTTAGGAGATCGAGACCATCCTGGCTAGCACGGTGGAACCCCGTCTCTACTAAAAATGCAAAAAATTAGCCGGGTGTGGTGTCAGGCGCCTGTAGTCCCAGTTACTCGGGAGGCTGAGGCAGGAGAATGGCGTGAACCTGGGAGGTGGAGCTTGCAGTGAGCCGAGATTACGCCACTGCACTCTAGCCTGGGCGACAGAGTGAGACTCAGTCTAAAAAAAAAAAAAAAAGACTACATACTACTTTTTTTTTCTTTTTTTTTGAGATGGAGTCTCACTCTGTTGCCCAGGCTGGAGTGCAGTAGCATGATCTCGGCTCACTGCAAGCTCCGCCTCCTGGGTTCACGCCATTCTCCTGCCTCAGCCTCCCGAGTAACTGGGACTACAGGCGCTTGACACCGCGCCTGGCTAGTTTTTTGTATTTTTTAGTAGAGACTGAGTTTCACCGTTAGCCAGGATGGTCTCGATCTCCTGACCTCGTGATCCGCCCGTCTCGGCCTCCCAAAGTGCTGGGATTACAGGCCTGAGCCACCACGCCCGGCCTACCTACTACTTTTATAACTCAGTAGCTGATAATAGTCTTCCAAGAGGTAGTATACTATAGTGGTTAGAGGTAGTCAAAATAGTCTCACACTGAAGAGTGAAATTTATTAAAATGTTGTAGTAAAAAAGTCTATGAGGCTGGGCACAGTGGCTCATGCCTGTAATCCCAAAGACTCAGAAGGCTAAGCTGGGAGGACCAATTGAGGCCAGAAGTTCAAGATCAGCCTAGGAGTAAGCTAGGATCACACCACTGCACTGCAGTCTGGGCAATAAAGAAAGACCATGTCTTTTGGAAAAAAAAAAAAAAAAAAAAAAGGACAAGCCTGGGCAACAGAATGAGACCCTATCTTCACAAGAAAAATAATTAGCCAGGCAATGGAAGCATGCGCTTGTAGTTTCAGCTACTTGGGAGGCTGAGATGGGAAGATCACTTGAGCCCTGGCATTTGAGGCTGCAGTGATCTATGATCTCACCACTGCACTCTGGCCTAGGTGACAGAGCAAGACCCTGTTTCAAAAAAAAGGAGTCCATGAAATAGGCAGTGTTATAAACAACAGAGAGGAAAAACCAGACATTTCACATTTACGGATAACGTATGATTACATATTACAAAGGCCAGAGAGCATCTAATATGAGAAAACATCTATTACCAATCACCTCTGAAAAAGCAGGAAGTATTATGAGTTGGCATACAAATTTTTTAAAGAGGAAGACTAGTGTATTTTAAAACAACCAACCAACTTACTACTAATTTAGGACTCCCTGCAGCTTATACAGTCAATGGATAGCACTCAAAAAGAGTGAGGACAAAACAAATCATTCTAGCCAAATCAGAACAAGTGGATCTTCTCCTGGAAAGAAATTCCAAATATAATATGGGAATGGGAACCTTGTCTGAATTAATGAGATATGAGAATAGGTTTAATTAAATACATTCAATGACAAGTCTTTGCTTAGCAAGATGTGATGTGTTAAGAATATAACTAAAATAATAAATTCAAATAAATAATCTCATCTTCCAAAGTTGTTACCTACCTTATTTCAACGGCACTGGCAATACTCAAAATATTTTTTGAATTGCTCAAGTTATGGAATGGTCTTTTGCAGAGCCTACCATGTGGTGGATATCCTATCAAACTCCATAATGACACAAGAGTGGCAATGAGAAAGAAAGGAATAATGGTGATATATTTTTTCAAATATATTTACGAATTTGTGAGAGGTATGGGTTATAAGGGCTTTCACCGTCAAATAATGTTCTCTGACAACTTACAATTCCTAGCTGTTAAATAAGAAGCAAAATTCAAACACCATGCTTGCCTAGTTATATTATCTAGGTTTCATTAAAATTTTTCTTTAGTTCTCTTCAAAATTCTTTGTACATTAAAACTGGGTTATTTATTCACTAGGTTTGTATCATTTATTTGTCTGAGAGTGCTGGATTCTAAATTTACTTAGAAAATGAAACTTTTTGGTAGCAATACAATTTGGAGAAGCTGAATATCATTATGAACTCATGAAATTTTATATATTATCTAGTATGTTTTAATTTCCTGTAGTCATTATTAATTTTGATGTATAACATGCCGTCTTTGATCAATGGGAGTCCCTTAAGTTACCTCCTTTTAAAATGAACACAGTATTCCTTGATGACTTCCTTACTTTCTGGCATGACAAGATATCCCAAGTTTACGTTGTGCATTTCCTGCCCCACACCTGAAAGCAGCCATTGCTCCATGGAGTCCTGACTCCTTTTTGGTTGGAAACAGTATTTAGAGCTATAACCTGGGCACTGGGGTATCCCCGACACTGGGTCATCACTGCTTTTAGGCCTGTTCACTGCACAAAAGGAGGATGTAAGTATTTTCAAAAAATTAAAATGAGCTCATACTGATAATTTCAATTTGAATCTAACGTATGGGGCTTTTACTTAATCTCAATTCTACAGTTACAGTTCTTTTTACTTATATTGAAAATCTTGGTTCCTAAGAACATTAACATAATTATTTATCTACTTGATCTTAAGATATGTAAACTATTTTTAAAGTAATACCACCAATAATACTACTAACTAAATTATTAAATATTAAGTTTAGTTATTTAAGATTTCTTTTGCAGATCTATTTATCCTCTGCAATAAAATTTTAAATGTACTTACATGGCAGGGCTAGATGTACAGAAAAATAAAGCATTCAGTAACAAATTCTGTTACTATGTGAAAACACTTCTAACAAAAAGCACCACGTTATAATATATAGAGAATGAAATCATTACCTTGCCTTTTCCATGAGGAATTCCTAAAGGACAATGTTTTACTGCTCCCAACAAAGCTGCCACAGCAAAACTGAAGCCAGTCACTGCTTCAGGTGAAGACTTATGTCCAGTAAGCCGTTCAAGGCAACGATCCAAGAGTGGTGTTAGGTAGGAGGGTAATGCCACGGCAATGCAGTGTAAACACCAAGCTGCTGCTAGTCGAACAGAAATGCTAGGATGAAGAGTAACTGACAAGATACTGTCAAGGAGGCCTGGAAGGACAGAATAAACAAATGATAACTTAGGTACACATAGATAAAACTCAACTGATCATAAAATAGTCAAAAGAATACATAGCTACATGGATATAAAATATATTTTTATCAAAAGCCAAATTATAATAGAAAAATACATAATTATAAATAATTTTTTTCTTTTAATTTCATTTTTCTCCCTTCTCACCATTCCTATGCAAAATAATTTTCTAACCTAAGAATTACTTCTAGTAATATATCTCATGAAAGCTGTCCTAAATTAAGTCCGTATACAAAAGAAAACTTTACTTCCTAAATCAGCCAATCTCTTACTTTAGCTTCAGATTGCTTATTAATTTGGTACTAAAAATTAAAAATTATCAATAAATAACACCTTGAAAAGAAATGTCACACCCTAGCCAGCTGTGGTTGCTCACGCCTGTAATCCCAGCACTTTGAGAGGCCAAGGCAGGTGAATCACCTGAGCTCAGGAGTTTGAGACCAGCCTGGGCAACATGACAAAACCTTGTCTCTACCAAAAATACAAAAAATTAGCCAGGCATGGTGACGCATGCCTGTTGTCCCAGCAACTAGGGAGGCTGAGGTGGGAGGATCACTTGAGCCGGAGAGGCGGGGCTTGTGGTGAGCCGAGATTGCGCCACTACACTCCAACCTGCGTGACAGACTGAGACCCTGCCTTGAAAAAAAAAAAGAGAAAAAAGTCATACCCTGCCCCATCCTTTTTATTTTTTAATCCTTCTAGTACATTTATCTACATAATTAGTATACTTTTTTTATTTTTGAGATGGAGTCTTGCTCTGTCACCCAGGATGGAATGCAGTGGTGCAATCTTGGTTCACTGCAACCTTCGCCTTCCGGGTTTAAGTGATTCTCTTGCCTCAACCTCCTGAGTAGCTGCGATCACAAGTGTGTGCCATTACACCTGGCTAATTTTTGTATTTTTAGTAAAGACAAGGTTTCACTATGTTGGCCAGGTTGGTCTTGAACTCCCGACCTCAAGTGACCCACCCACCTCATCTTTCCAAAGTGCTGGATTACAGGCACGAGCCACCGTGCCTGGCCTACATAATTAATACACTTTCTATCCACCATGTTGCTCTTACAAGAACACAATGTTAAAATCAAGGCTTCGCTAGGTCCTCAGTGGGCTACTAATCAACTAACGACAAAGACAGTGAAGTGACTGCCACCACCAATAAAAGAAAAGGTATTATTTGCTATGATTCAACATAAACTTTCATGAAACATATGCTTCATGTCAAATTCTATTTAAGTAAGTGTCCCAGATCTAAATAGCTTATACACACAAATATAATGTAAAGTTTCTCAGAAAGAAATGTGTACCACAAAGGATAAAAGCCATGATGATGCATTTTTTTAAAACAGGGTCTCACTCTGCCACCCAGGATAGAATGCAGTGGCATGATAATAGCTCACTGTAGCCTTAATCTCCTAGGCTTAAGTGATGCTCCTGGCTCAGTCTCCCAAAGAGCTGGGACTACTACAGGTGCACACCACCGTGCCTGGCTAAGTTTTAAAAAATTTTTAGTAGAGAGGAGTTCTCATTATGTTGCCCAGGCTGGTCTTGAACTCAGCTCAAGCAATTCTCCCATCTTGGTCTCCTAAAGTGCTGGGATTACAGGCGTGAGCCACCATATCAGGCCTCAAAAACGATTTTTAAAAGTGATTTTAAAAAGAAGCAAGTCAGTTATGACTATATATTGAATGAATTTTTTTTTTTAAACATGAAATATCCAGAATAGGTGGATTCACAGAGACAGAAAGTAAATTCATGGTGGTCAGCGGCTGGGGGAAAGGGAAATGGAAATGACAACTTCCTGGGGGTAATGAAAAGACTCTGGAATTAGACAGTGGTAGTAACTGTACAGTAGAGCAAATATACTCAAAACCCCTGAATTGTATACCTCATAAGCGTAAACTTCATGGCAAGTGATTTACATCTCTTTTGTTTGTTGCCCAGGCTGGAGTGCAGTGGCGTTCTCTCGACTCACTGCAACCTCCACCTCTGGCGCTCAAGCGATTCTCGTGCCTCAGCCCCCCAAGTAGCTGGGATTACAGGTAAGAGCCACCATGCCTGGCTAATTTTTGTATTTTTAGTAGAGACGGGGTTTTGCCACGTTGGCCAGGCTGGTCTTGAACTCCTGACCTCAAGTGATGTGCCCGCCTCGGCCTCCCAAAGTGCTGGGATTATAGGCATGAGCCGCTGTGCCTAGCCATGAATTATATCTGAATAAAGCTACTATAAAGTGATTAAATACTTAAAAAAAGAAAGAAAATACTGCTTTAAAGACCTCTGAGGAACTGAATTACTTGTACCGTACTAGTGTTTTCACTGCAGATGCAGAGACAGTTCAGGTTTACTTCTCTGTAAAGTTTTTCCAGGTTATCTTATAAGTCTCTAGAATGGGGGGTGGGGCGGAGACTTACAGAACAATCTTTAATTACAAAAGAAAAAAACTAAACAATATACATCTTTTTAATAATGATTATAAATTTTTCATAAAACATTTCTAATAAATCTATAACGGAATCTATAAGTAAACTATATGATGATTTCCTTCCTTGGAACAAAGTTATCTAGTGTTCAAGGGAAAAAAAGGTATTCCAATGAGTTACAAACAACAGATATACCTGTACTTGAATCCTGTAGCAAAGGTGCCGCTGTGGTGCCAAGATTGTGTATGAGATTTCCAAGTTCTTGTAAAGCACAAACCAGCATATGCTGGCTAGCTGCTACATCTGTGGAACCAACCCGGGTTTCCAAATTACCATCACTCATTACGGCATCTGACAGAAATGCAAGAATTAACTATGCATCACCACTGTATTAAAATATATTGAAAAGGGTGTGAAGAGTTAAAAGATGTAACGGCGAAAATTAATACATACACTTGATCTATAAGAAATACTTGAGGCAATAACTAAAATGCTTAAATGGTGACTTGCATCAATAAAGAAAGAAATGAATTACTATAACCAATTTAGTTCAAGCATTCCAATCAGAGATCCCTTACTACTCCCTTAGCAAATGGCACTGAAAGAGAGAACTCATGGGAAACTAAAAATGATTTCAACATTACTGATATTTAATATCCAACATTACCAGTATTCGAGATAAGGAGAGTAGACTTAAGATGGTACAGCAACTGAGATAGACTGTTTCAAAAATAATTTATCTTAACTTCTACAGGAAGTACAACGGGAATTCTGAGGAACTTCTATCAGCCTTCAAGGTTTCTGTATTAATACAGTATCATATATCAGTCTAGCCTTCCCAAAGGGACAATTCCATTAGCACTGTTAAACAAACTGTCTTAGTAGAGATCCATACCCATAACTTTCTTTAGCTTCCAGATGGCCTGGCAAATATCCTTTACAACAGCAAGTTGAGCCTTTTCTCCAAGAAGACCACCTATAGTAGTTCGAAGAATAAATGAAACACAACGGCGACAGCAAATGGCATCAATCTGAGTTTGGGTGGCTTTAGGGTGTGACTGTGACACAAGGCTTAGGATATGAGAAAGAAAGGCAGCAAAATTTTTCTCTAGCCAAGCTCCTCCTAATGTTGAAACAAATACCACATAAGCCTAAAAAAGAAAAGAGTTTTATTTTCAATATTAAATTGTTTCAATTCTGTATTTTCCCTCACAAAATATGCAGCATTTACTAATATTTTTCTTATTCCTTATAAATTGTATTCTTTCCTAATTTATAGCCACTTGAAATATATAAACATAGCACCATTTTGTTTTTGTTTGTTTTAAGCCAGAACTGAAGGGCTTTTTATTTTTATTTTTATTTTTTTTATTTTTTGAGACACAGTCTCGCTCTGTTGCCCAGGCTGGAGTATGCAGTGGCGCAATATCGGCTCACTGCAAGCTCTACTTCTGGGTTCACGCAATTCTCCTGCCTCAACCTCTTGAGTAGCTGGGACTACAGGGGCCCGCCACCATGCCTGGCTAATTTTTTTGTATTTTTAGTAGGGACGGAGTTTCACCATGTTACCCAGGATAGTCTTGATCTCCTGACTTCATGATCTGCCCGCCTTGGCGTCCCAAAGTGCTGGGATTACAGGCATGAGCCACCGCGCCTTGGTCTGAAGTGCACAGTCTTCCAATCAAGACTTCATTTATGTTACCTCCCTGTTTTATTTTGGTCAGACTACAGTTTCAGAATAGTCAGCATACCCAGCTAATATGTAAAATGTGTCTGTGGCTTCTGTGAACAACGGCTCCAAGAGATTTAACATTCTGAACAAGAAATCTCTATTTAAACATACAAACACATTATAAGAATTAACTATGCTCCAACATTATAACTCTAAGGGAATTTAATTCTTTATTTTCATAAACATTAACAGTTTCCCTTACTCCACAGATATAAAGTAGTTTTAGGTAATCTGTTCCTTAGAAACACACAGTTTAATTACAATTATAGTGGGAGGCTCATATTTTCATGGAGACTACATACAGTATAAAACAATGACAATATATGTGAATTTTTCAAAAATACAAGTTTGCTTTGAATGGTAACAGGTTTAGCAAAAAAAGATAATCCAAGGAAAGAAGGCAGATATCTCTTTGTTTTATTGTAAGATAACTCTTCCAAGAGTTTACCTCTTAAAATTTGTTTAGGACCAAAAATTTAAGCACTGAAGTAAACTACATGCTGTACTCCCTGAGGGTTAAAGCCATATAAAATGGTTATTTCACCCATGCTAAATAATATGTACCTAATAGCTTAAATCTGAACTGTATGAGCACACACAAATACAATGGAAAACATGTTAAACCACAAGATACATGAAAGCACAACAGCTAGAAACAAAAAAAGTTCTTGTTTCAAAGAAAACTAAAATGTTCCATTATTAGGAACGCAAAACACATTATAGGTAATAAGGTTCTCTTACTTGCAACCTACTTTAAAAAAATGTTTTGGCCTTACCATTTATATCTATTAATAGATATGAGAGCATAAGTGTGGACCTTGCATAGTACCACTTCTGTGGAGTCAGATACTAAAACTTTCATTATAGGCCAGTAAGAGTTAGATTTAGATACTGATTTGTGATTCTAACCTGAGTAACTCCAACTCGAACATCCCTACTGACTGAACTGGTTCCTTTCAGCATATCTCCACTGGCTCGAAGGAATCCTGAACTCCCACGTAGAAACCCTGTTCCTAGTAATTCCAGAACTTCCTCCAGAGATACTCTGCGAATGCTTTGACGTGAGGCTGCTATGACAAAGAACAAAACTGTGATTCATATTTTATAGACTAAATTTTAATGCATGTTCTTGATTTGCAAAAAGCCAGCATGTTAATAGAAACAAACATAAACTAAAAATTCAAACAAAATGCAAAATTTGCAGAACAGTCTACACAGTAATACACAAAGTCACACAAGGGTTCAGAGGTCAAATCAGAATGGACCCTGAAGTGCATGTCAAAACATCTTAAAGACTATGACTAAGATCATGATCTATTGCTTCCTTTCCTCAAAGAAGTTAAAAGGCTGTCTTCTAAAACAGGGGAAAAAACATAAATAAGGCTGCCCTAGTCCTCCACAAATGAAAACACTGTACAATACTTTGAAAATTCTTTTGAAACATGGAAAATGCCAAAATCATAATTTTATTTTTCCAAATGCTGTACAACTCTCAAAGAAATGTATATAATGTAAATGTCCTATTTTTAAAAATTCTCTATTGGCAATAAAACTTTTACTATTCCTTCAGTCTCTGAAGAAATCAAAGCTAAATTCATTAAAACTACTCATTTGGCTCTTAGGCTACAATAACTAACAGATTAATTAAGGCAGGAATGTGTAAGATTGACTTCAGTTTGACACAGCCGGGTTTCTCCCTGTGACTATCTAGATAAAGACTATCTCCCTAAAAAAAAGAAGAAACCATTTCTCCCTCAAAAATTAATGGTCACAAGCTCTGACCCTCTATAAGAACAAAGAAATAAACTTTTGTTACAGTTATGAACACAAAAACCTCCTCCCTAGCCTAAAGAAAACCATCTGAGACAAATGAAAATCTAACTTGGCATTTGGGGAAGAAACATTATTGAACAGTGCAAAATCCATACTCTGTGGATCATAAATTCTGAGACAGCAATAAACGTAAAAAATGACTATGTATATTAAACAGTGATTAAAAACCATGCAGAAAACAGAGCAAAATGAGGTCAGGAATACGGGGGTGGAGTGAAGTGTAGTTTGTGACTTTAAATAGGGTATTGGGGTAAGAGTCATTGAAACGGTGACATTTTAACACAGTTTGAATGTAGGGAAGAAATTAGTCATGAGGGTATCTGCAGAAAAAGTGTTCTAGGCAGAGGAAATGGCTACGACAAAAAGGCCTTTATAGGATGCCAGGTGAGTTCACACAGAGCAATGTGGATGGAGTAGTGGAGGGGGTATGTAGGAGACAGGTCAGAGTGTAAGGATGGGGAGAGGGCAGAAGATATAGGACCTTGTAGGTCATTCTAATAAGGCTGTGACTGAAATGAGGTGCCAGTGGAGGACCTTGAGCAGACAAGTGATGTAATCTGTCATGCTGCTGCTGTGTTGAGAGATTATAGAGTGGGGTAAAGGTAGAAGCAGGGAAAACCATTAGGAGTGATTTATTAGTGTAAGCAAGAGATGATAGTGACTTGGATCAAGGTGGTTAAAGTGGAGTGAACGGAATCTGGACAAACATAAATATATATTTTTAAAAATTAGAAAAAAATTAGAAAAAAGCTGTAAGAAGAGTATAATAAACTTTCATATACAGTCACGTACCACATAAGGACATTCTGTTCAATGACAGAGATCACATATATGACGATAGTCCTGTAAGATTATGATGGAGCTGAAAAATTCCTATTGCCTCATGACATTCCAACACATTACTCACATGTCTATGGTGATGTTCATGTAAACAACCCTACTACACTGCCAGTCATGTAAAAGTAAAGACCATGCAATTATGTAAAGTATGTAATACTTGATAATAAACAACTGTTACTGGTTTATGTATTTATTATACTTTTTACTGTTATTTCAAAGTATACTCTTGTTTATAAAAAGTTAACTGCAAAACAGCTTCAGGTAGGCCCTTTAGGAAGTATTCCAGAAGAAGGCATCGCTATTACAGGAGACAACAGCTCCATGCGTGTCACTGCCCTTGAAGACCATCCAGTGGGACAAGATATTAAGGTGGAAGACAGTGAGATTGATGATTCTGACTCTGTGTAGGCCTGGGCTTATGTATGTGTTTAAAAGTTAAAAAAAAAAAAAAAAAAGAAAAAAGCTTATAGAACAAGGATACAAGGATATAAAGAAAATGTTTTTGTATAGTTGTACAATGTATCTGTGTTTTAAGCTAAGTGTTATTATTATTTTGAGTGTAGTGGCACAATCTCAGCTCACTGAAACCTCTGCCTCCCAAGTTAAAGGGTTCAAGTGATTCTCATGCCTCAGCCTCCCAAACAGCTGTAACTCCCGGCATATGCCATCACGCCCCGTTTTTGCATTTTTAGTAGACACATAGGGTTTCCCATCTTGGCCAGGCTGGTCTTAAACTCCTGACCTCAAGCAATCCACCCGCCTCAGCCTCCCAAAGTGCTGGGATTACAAGCATGAGCCACTGCACCTGGCCCCTAAATGTTATTATAAAAATATTCAAAGGAATCAAAAATTTTAAAAATCAAAAAGTTTATAAAGTAAAAAGCTTACAGTAAACAAAGGCTAATTTATTATTAAAGAAAAACATACATTTTTAAAATTTAGCATAGCCTAAGTATACAGTGTTTGTAACATCTATAGTAGTATACAGTAATATCCTAGGCTTTCACATTCACTCGCCACTCACTGACTCACCCAGAACAACTTCCAGTCCCATAAGTTCCATTCATAGTCAGTGCCCTATAGGTGTGTACCACTTCTTATCTTTTATATCATATTTATACTGTACCTTTTCTATATTTAGACATGTTTAGATACACAAATACCATTGTATTACAGTTTTCTCAGTATTCAGCATAGTAACATGCTGTAGAGATGTATAGCCTAAGAGCAATACTCTATACCATATAGCCTAGTGTGCAGTAGGCTATATCATCTAGATTTGTGTAAGTTCACTCTACGATGTTGCCACAATGACAAAATCACCTAATGATGCATTTCTCAGAATATGTCCCTATTATTAAGCTATGCGTGACTGCATCTACCTGGACTCATCATATTTTCTTCATTACTTTCTTACTTCTGAAGAATACACTTATGGCCAGTTGTTTTATAGAATGGCCCTTGATATGAGTTTGTCTGGTATTTCCTCCAAATTTTTGACAGAGAACTATGTAAGTAATGCTATATCCTTTTCAATGCATAACATCAAAAAGCACTGCCAGGTGTGATGTCAGTCTGTCCCTACATACGTGATATTAGCTTTGAACATTTGCACAGTGTAAGTCTGCCAGATTTTTCCACCGTAAAATTATCATTTATAATTATGATACAATGTATATGGCAATACTTTAAGATGGCATGAGATTGGATAAAACCACAAGACATGCTTTCTTGGCTTTCTTTCCTTCCTTCTCACTGGAAATTTCTGTTCTGTCTTCTTCGATGGTTCCTTGTGTTCTCCTAGAGAAAGCTCATGACCTAGTACCTGGTCTGCTCTTCCCTATGTATACTCACTGTCTTGTGATCTTATCTAATCTCATAGCTTAAATTCCATCTCTATATTAGAGATTCCTGAATAATCACTATTAATTTATTCCTAAAATAAATAAATTAATTTATTCCTAAAATTTATGAAGTTGATGTCCAGTCTCCTCTCCTGGACACCAGACTCTCACATCCAGCTGTCTATTTGATATCTGTATTTCGATGTCTATTTAATGGTCCAAATTGTTTTAAACGCAGTGCTTGATCCTCCTCCCTGACACATACACATGCCTGCTCTACTTGCACACTTGCTCATGTAAGCTGATGACAACTGTATACTTCCGGATTTTCAGCCCAAAATTCATAAAGTCACCCTGGACTTCTCTTTCACACTCAACATCTATTCTATTTGACTATTCAAAAAGATTCAAAAGTAGAACTCCTTAGAGAAATGGCTAATTCTGGGGTTGGGACGGAGAAAGTAGTATGCTGTGATTGCACCACTGCACTCCACCCTGGGTGGCAGAGTGAGACCCTGTCTCCAAAAACAACAACAACGAAATCACTAAGACAAAGCAAAACTGTCCAAATACAATAAACTTCAAATATCTAGAATTATCTACATTATATGCTCCATTGTACCAACCTAAAAAATGGCAAGCCAAATATATGTTGTAGTCAGATGCATGCTGCTTTAAAAAAAAAAAAATCAGTATTTAGATCATATCGTTTATTGGATAACACTTCACAATTACTTAAAAAAAAAAATTTAAAATGGCCGGGCGTGGTGGCTCACGCCTGTAATACCAGCACTTTGGGAGGCCGAGGCGGGCGGATCACGAGCTCAGGAGATCGAGACTATCCTGGCTAAAACTGTGAAACTCAGTCTCTACTAAAAATACAAAAAATTAGCCAGGTGCAGTGGCGGGTGCCTGTAGTCCCAGCTACTCAGGAGGCTGAGGCAGGAGAATGGTGTGAACCTGGAAGGCAGAGTTTGCAGTGAGCAGAGATCGCGCCACTGCACTCCAGCCTGGGCGACAGAGCAAGACTCCATCTCAAAAAAAAAAAAGAAAAGAAAAAAAAGGAACTTTTTTTTTTTTTTTTGGAGTGCAGTGGCACAATCTCGGCTCACTACAACCTCTGCCTCCTGGGTCCAAGTGATTCTCCTGCCTTAGCCTCCCAAGTAGGTGGGATTACAGGCGTGTGCCACCACACCCGGCTAATTTTTGCACTTTTAGTAGAGATGGGTCTCACCACGTTGGCCAGACTGCTCTCAAACTCGTGACCTTAGGTGATCCACCCACCTTGGCCTCCCAAAGTGCTGGGATTACAGGCATAAGCCACCATGCCCAGCCCGAAATTGATTTATAATGGGTAGCAATAACATTATACATATTTGTTTATATCAACTGGGGAAAAAATTACAGAAGATACTTTAAAAACAATTACATGTATTTACCTGTTCCTGGATGTTTAGAAGTTATAGCTTTAGCTAATATTGTGCCTAGTAACTTCGAAACAGAAATCCGTACATCATAATTGGAACCTTCAAAGGACTTAAAACATAGTGTGGCCACACTGTCCAGGTCCGTACTCCACATAAAGATGGCTTCATTCTGAAGTTCAAGGAGACACTATTCAATTGGACAAAGAGAAATTAATGAAAAATAAAATACAAACGTCAGGTTCAGAGCTATATAAGTTACAGAAACTATCAGGGTTTTAAAAAATAATACACAAATTCAGAGTATCTATTATGATTACAAGAATAATGAATACTTATTAAAAGTCATAAAAATTATATTATAGAAGAGAATGAACCTACAAGAGGTGGGAGGAGGACCCATTTCTAACTCCACAGGTTATGAAAAATGCCTTTAGAATCAATCTGTTGGCTATGAACATCTGGGAGAATAATTCCAACATTAAAAAAACTTCACTGTATTATCTTACCAACTATGTTAAGAAGGTATAAATTAAAAACAAAACAAAAAATCACTTTGAGACAACATAAACCTCACATGTAAATTTTAATTTACACAATTAGGGAGAAATTTTTAGTAGAGTAGAATGAATACTTAAGATTCTGGAAACCTGAACTTCCTACCCTCTGACCATGTGTTGCTAACTTAATTTAAACCTTGGGAAATTCATATAACTCTGGGTCTCGGTTTCCTTGTATGTTAAAATGAGATAGTCCTAGCTGACTACCAAAATAATGTAGCTTTCACTAATGCTTTCACAAAGATAATCTGATTTAATTTTCTTCATACTAATTTTTAAAGTCTGCTTATTAGATCATTTTACCTTCGCAGCAGCACAACGAACAGCCATGGATCTATCTGTTAAGCAGGATCTAGCAGCTTTATAAACATCCCTGTGACAAGGTGCAGCAGCAGCTCCTAGTCCATTCAATATATTTTGCAGACTTAGCATAATCTCATATCGGCCTTGAGACTACCAAAAAGAAAAAAAAATTAAATAGGAAAAATAATTCCACAGCAAAGAACAGGATTAAACACTGGTATCTGTCTCTGGTACTGAAGAAATACCCAGACTTCTATACATACTGACCAACCCATTCTGACATCAAGAAACAAGTTACTATTTTATGAAATATTATTTGAAAAGTTACTTGTATACACCGGATTTCAACATGATACAAATTTCACAGGGTTGATGTGAAGATTAAACAAAATTACATGAAAAGTGCCTAGCCCAAAGCTTACATGCCATTAAGCATTCAATAAATAGTTGTTATAGTCTAAGCTAACGTATTAAAAATGCAGGGTCTGCCATTTACTAGATAGGACCTTGGGCAAATCTGTTTCTTCATCTAAAAATAGAGGTAATAGTATCCCTCATAGGCTGTTGTAAGGAATGAATGAGTCATACATGCAAAGTGCTTATAACAAGCCTAGCCATACAACAAATGTTCAATAGATTTGGTAGCTATAATACTTTGTTATTATTTATTGGTTGGAATAGCATAACTCACAATTTAAAGTCTTGGATTTAGAATTGAAAAAACCTGGGTTTGAACTTCTCTGTGACCCTCAGTAACTTTGTGACTTTAAGTTGTTCTTACTTATTTCCTCATCTATAAAATGAGGATAAGATGAACCTCATAGGTAAACATTCACACAGTGCCTGGCACACAGTAAACAGTCAAGAAATAGTAGCTGCTTGGTTGGGCCCGGTGGCTCACACCTGTAATCTCAGCACTTTGGGAGGCCAAGGTGGGCCAAGTGCTTGAGCTCAGGACTTCACAACCAGCCTGGGCAACACGGTAAAACCATAACTCTAAAAAAATACAAATTTTAGCCAGGCGTGTTGGTGCACATCTCTAGTCCCAGCTACTCAGGAAGCTGAGGTGGGAGCATGGTAGAGCACACCTGTAGTCTCAGCTACTCGAGAGGCTGAGGTGGGAGGATGGCTTGAGCCTCGGAAGCAGAGGGTGCAGTGGGAGGTAGAGGGTACAGTGGGAGGCAGAGAGTGCAGTGAGTGCAGATTGCACCACTGAACTCCAGCCTGGGTGACAGAGCCAGACCCTGTCTTAAAAAAAAAAAAAAAAAGTAGTCGCTTATTTTATTAATGTTTTACTAAATGCCTCAAATCATATCTATATCCCAGGAAGTTAAGGCCACTGAAGGTAGATAAGTTGGAGTTGGAGGAAGACAAAGATCAGCATCAAGAATCACTTCATAGTAATATTATTAATTCATCTTTGTTTAAAGGCACTTCAAAGTCATAGGTGAACATAATAAAATGGTGCCAATGAGAATCTTCCGAACTTTTCTTTTATTCCAGTTCCAAATGTTGTGTATCACTGGTGGGTGTGGATATCTCTGAAATGTTGTGATACCTGATCAACTAAATCAAAGATCAAAAGTAGGGAATACGGCTCAAGGACGTTAGCTAAAAAAATTTTAAAAATAGGGGAGCAACAAAATACTTAACAGTAACTTAAAACATTTTCATAACTATAGAGTAATCCTCTATTAACCAAGGGGCCTAAAAAGTGTTATAGCTTAACCAGTGGAATTAGGAGGAAGAAAGTTTAAAATGGCTGTATCTCAATAAATAAAATTTCTTACAGATATCTGCTTTTAAATAAAACTAGATTTATAGATGTTATAAAAATCTGTTCTCCTTAATCATTTTCTCCAATCTTTTGGGAAACTATTGCTGAGAAGTGATCTGATGAGCAAATTTTCTCACCAGTTTTACGTTAGAGTCTTCACTTCTTAAAGTTCTTGAATCAGCTACATTCTTCTTAAAATTTACCCATTTTTTTAATTGGAATTTTCCCTTGTTTTGCCTTGCTACATTTTTAAAAAATGTGTGTGTGACTGTCCAACATTTCTATAAATTACTTCAGAGCTGTTTTCTAGATTTTTGTAAATAAAGTAACAAGAGTAACCAGTGTGATGTTTTTAGATTTATTTTTTCTAATAAATATTTTTTAAGAGACATGGTGTTGGGCCGGGCATGGTGGCTCATGTCTGTAATCCTAGCACTTTGGGAGGCTGAGGCAGCTGGATCACTTGAGGTCAGGAGTTCAAGAATAGCCTGGTGAACATGGTGAAACCCTGTCTCTACTAAAAATACAAAAAATTTGCTGGGCGTGGTGGCACGTGCCTATAATGCCAGCTACTCGGGAGGCTGAGGCAGGAGAATTGCTGGAGCCCAGGAAGTGGAGGTTGTAGTGAGCTGAGATCGTGCCACTGCACTCCAGCCTGGACAACACAGCCAGACTCCGTCTCACAAAAAAAAAAAAAAAGAGGGTCTTGCTCTGTCACCTAGGATGCCATCCAGTGGCATGACCATAGCTCACTACAGCCTTGAACTCCTGGGCTCAAGTGATCCTCCTGCCTCAGTCTTCTGAGGGGCTAGAACTACAGGTGCTCACCACCATACTGCAACTAATTTATGATTTTGTAGAGACAGAGTCTTCCATTGTTGCCCAGGGTGGTCTCAAACTCCTGGCTTTAAGTGATCCTCCCGTCTCAGCCTCTCAAGTAGCTGAGATTACAGGTGCAAACTACCATGTCCATGTTTTTATATTTAAAGGTGCTAAGTTGTCCTTACATATTAGGGACCACAGATTTAAACCTTTTGCTAAACAAACATATAAATGCTTTCATTTCAAAACCAGTAAAACCACAGTTGGCAAGAGATTACAGTATCTTAGTTTCTTAAAGTCAAATGAAGAGACAGTCTCAAAAACAAGGGGTGTTCCAGAGTAGTAAGTGACACAAATATTTCAATGAGGATTCAGTTGAAAATATACTCCCTTGGCAATTAAAAGGTCATCTGGATCTGGTCACACATCCTCTACACTCTTTCCCCTCAGATTATATTCCTTACTACCTTCTGATGCTAGTATAGTAACTCATCTATCCATAAGGTATACAGTGTTTATCAACTATGTAGTCCCTAGTGACAAGCAGTTGCACTGGCACCAGTAAGTACTATCAAATAGAAAAGATGGAGTAAGAGGAGAGAGCAGGGATGGGCCTATAAGTGGAATACATTAGTTTTCACCCACTTGGATTTATATGAATACAAGAAATTCTACTGCTTTACTATTTTTCTGACAGGAATTCAATATACAGAGTACATATTGTGCATCATCTAGAAATATTTAATTTATAGGTATATTTATATTCATATCTACATATGCTTGTCATATGTAAAGTTCTTTTATTTGCTCAGGAAAGCATAAACCAATAAAATGCTGTATTTTCATTCTTTGGCTAAACTTGTAATTACTTACCTCTGCACTCTTCACAGCCTTAAGAATATTCCCCACCGTATCAGTAAAGGTGTTACCCAGTATTCTACCCAACTTCTTGTACAAGGAACCCAAACATACCACAGCAGCACTGAAACAACATTTAAATTAGAAATTAGTCACAGCTGAAACAATAGGAATAAAAATATCTTAGAATATGTAAGGATAACTATTGAAAAATTTCCCCATTCTCTTGGTTGTCTTTTTACTTTCTTTGTATTATCCTTTGAAACACAAATGTATTAACTGTGATGAAGTCTTATCTATTTTTTGTCAGTTGTGCTTTTTGATGCTATACCTAAGAAACGCTGCCAAAAACAAGGTCACAAAGATTTACCCCTATGTTTTTTCTTACGAGTTTTATAGTTTTAGCTGTTACACTTACATCTATGATCAATTTTGGGTTAATTTTTTTATACATGGTGTAATAGAAGGGTCCAAATTCATTCTTTTGCATGTGGACATACAGTTATACCGGCATCACTTGTTGAAAAAGTTACTATTTTAAATTTTACTTTGAAAGGATAAAATTTCTAAGAATCTATTCTGTGGTTAAATCTTAAGGCATGACACTTAGGTGAATATGATTATACTTTCAATAATAAGGATGTATCAATCTGTGATTACTACTCAGCCCAAAGATTACACACCCTCAACTTTGTTACAAAATTCTACAAAATATTTCAACAGAACTCAGCTACATATTAGATAATAGTTAAGCTTAAAGACAAAAATAAAAACAAGAAATAATGTTCTCATCAAGTTTGAAATCTGAAAACTTTATGGGGGAATACATTCTGTTATAAGTAAAAATTAGAGCAACAAAAACTTCTATAGAATTATGACATGGTGGCTGGGCGCAATGGCTCATGCCTATAATCCCAATACTTCGGGAGGCCAAGGCGGGTGGATCACTTGAGGTTGGGAGTTTGAGACCAGCCTGGTCAACATGGTAAAATGCCGTATCTACTAAAAATACAAAAATTAGCTCAAAGTGGTGGTGCGTGCCTGTAGTCCCAGCTACTTGAGAGGCTAAGACAGGGGAATTGCTCGAACCCAGGAGGCGGAGGTTGCAGTGAGCCGAGATCACGCCACTGCACCCCAGCCTCGGTGACAGAGAGGTTCTGTCTCAAAAAAAAAAGAAAAAAAGAAATACTACGTGGCTCATTGCCTTTTTAAAGATAACAGGTGATAAAATGAACTAAATCCTACAGAGAAACTAGGCTGTTCTTTTCAGGATCTTAGCAAATACTTTTCTACATGATATTTATTATCAATTTTCATAACCAAGAATGAATAAATTGCAAAAGCATCCAAAAATGTGAAGAATTTAAAATATCTTTCTTAAATATTCAACTGCTAAAATTTTTTTTAGGAAGATGTTTTCAATCTCAAATCTAGACTTCAAATATGTCTAAAGTATTTGTAGAATTGTTTCTCAGTAACTAACATGAAGTGTTAGTTTCTTAAAATGAGTAAAACTGAGTTTGTATTCAGTTTCAAAGTAATTGTCAAGTACTATGGGTACTTCATAAAAATACAACAGGAAGCAATATTTTGTTTCCTGTTCTGTTTTAATGTTTCACTTACAGCTTAGTAGGAAGGTAACTTGGAGAATCATCTTTGCTACGAATAAGATCATTACATTTATCGATTGCCTCGTAAACGGAGAATGTGTCTCCAATACTATAAAGTATGGCTAGATTCTTAGCAAGGAGTTTGCGGGTAGGAGGCCCTGGGGAGTTGTTCAACAAAGACAGGAGCTGTTCAACAAGAGTCTTCTGTTTCTCCCTTACATCATTCTAGAAAGAAAGATAACACAAAGACACTTCAAAGTCAATATAATTATATGTAATCCTCTAACATAATTTTTCTTTCAAATATTTAAGAACTAAAAAGGCTCTAGAAAAATACAAACTTATTTTGACTGGAAGTTACAAATAAGTTGGTAGTGTGGTCATTATGCCACACTAAACAGGTAGTTTGTTGCTCTGCTAATAACTCCAAAAAAACCCTCCAAAAATTCCAAACCACATTATACTGTAATCTCTGTTAACAAATATAAGGGCTCTATGTATTCTAAATCTTCTTTTGTTTGAAAGGTAGAGGAAATTTGTATCATTATTTTTCATAGAGACAATGTGATATGGTTTGGCTCTGTGTCCCCACCCAAATCTCATGCTGAATGGTAATTCCCATGTGTCAGGGGAGGGGCCTGCTACAAGGTGATTGGATCATGGGGGTGGATTTCACCCATGCTGTTCTTGTGACAGTGAGTGAGTTCTCACAAGATCTGATGGTTTAAAAGTGTGTGACACTTCCCCCCAACCCTTCCTGCCACGATGTGAAGAAGGTCCTCACTTTCCCTTCACCTTCTCCCATGACTGTAAGTTTCCTGAGGTCTCCCAGTCACACCTGTTAAGCTTGTGTAATTGTGCATTAATTAAACCTCTCTTCTTCATAAATTACCCAGTCTCAGGTAGTTCTTTACAGCAGTGTGAGAACGGACTAACACACAAGGTCACACTATGTTGCCTGGGGTAGAGTGCAACGGCTATTCATAGGGGCAATTATAGTGCTGCACTACAGCCTCGAATTCCTGGGCACAAGCAATCCTCCTGCTTTAGCCTACCAAGTAACTGGGTCTACAAGTACGCATCAGCATGTCCAAATTTGTACTTTCAAGTACAGCGTCTGAGTTACTAATCCTACACCTCCCCCATATAAGCTGCATAAAGCAGTAACCTATAATCTGTAACCAGAGCTGACCTTGTAATGGCTACCTGTTTTATTCAATCTATTCCTAAGTGTAATGCAATTTTCTTTTTGCAAGCTTATGTATATAAATGTTAATAATGTTATTCCATTCTCCTTGTCTGCTATCCAAATAAAGAGTACATAGTATCATTATGAAGCTAATGGTATTCAGGTGCTCACTGAAGCCTAAAATTCCACAATAAAATATTTGTCAGTGTATAGAATTTTGTCTTTTGCTAATTTTTTCCCCCAAATCTAGAAGTTGCTTTTTTTCTCTCTTAAAGATCAGCAAACTTGTCAAATATTTTGATAACTAGAGTCACATAGCTCCTTGTTGTCTCAGAACAAGAATGTGTTTTGGAATGCTATTATTTTAAATTCATAAATAAAATGTCTTTTGTTAAATTCTAAATGTCTCCATGAGTAGTGTTTTTGTACCACTTTGGAACTGCATATAGTACTGTGATTATGTGAAAAAATGTTCTTATTTTTAGGAGATGTAGGCTAGAAGTGCCACCTCAATGGCTTAGTAAATTAATCAACCAAACATGGCAAAATGTTACTAATTGCTGAATGTACGTGAAGGGTATGAGTGATCAGTTTTCCTTTTTTATACTCATGTCATAAGCTTTTAAGGGAGAATCTGTTTATCCATAGGCTCTTGAATTCATACACCTCAAGTCTTCCTACCTTTTTAAAGTGAAACTCCCACTACATTGTTTAGCCACCATACTTTACCAGGGCTTTCTGGACATGGAGGAACACAGATGCAGAAGATAACAAAAATGAAGGATAATACAAAGTACTTGTAGTTGGTGTTTCATATATTTTTAAATTAATACCAAAAACATTAGCTAATTTCTTCCTGCTTTTCTGAATAGCGAAAACTTCTAATAGTAAAAACTCTGATGAGGGAACAAAAAATGTACTATGTTTCATTAAGTTTTAACAAAGTCTAACATTTTAAAGTTAAATTACATTATTCTGGAAAAAACTAGAAAAGCAAACCAAAGGAAGTAAACATGGGCACTTAAAAAAACATGTTGTCATTTTACCCACCCTGCTGGTTGCTAACAAGAGCTTCTCCAAGTATCTCAACCACTCAAAAATAAACTTTGCCTTCTGAACTTCACCTAGTTGATTGTATGCTTCTTCATTCAGCAATAAGCTATGAGCTAATTCCATTCCTTGCAGCAATCCTCCTAGCTGGTCACAGTTCTTCTCGTTAAACTTTGGTCAATATACCTAAGAATAAAAATCTGCAATACAGGAAAATAATGTATTTTAAAAGGGGAATAAAAAGGAAGGCAATCATAATATTGGAAATCTTTCACAGAAAAGTGAAAACATAATTAAATGTATACATTTTTTATAACTGCTCTAGGGTGAATCTGGGAAAATCCCAATAATGTTCTAGTTAACACTGACATAAAATCCACCTTTATATTCTGTACTCAAGCAGACAGGCAAAATAGAGTAGTATTATTGGCAATTGTATGCAAAAACTTGCTAAACAGAAGAGACATTCCACTAAAATTTTGAAAATTTTAAGATTAAGCTGTTTATTCTGTGTTAGGTTTTCTTTGCAGTTTAAGTAACTTACTAAAATGGGTAATAGGTACATATTAAAAAATGACACCAAACATCCAGACCTTCTACTAGAATTCTATAGTAAAGCTTACCATCTCTCTGGGCCTTTGCCTAGCTAGGTACATGCCCTGTCATTTACCTGGAGATCCAAGAGGGACTTAAGCCCATTAGCATCAGTTCTCCCAGCCTACTAAAGGCACTGCTTGTAGTTTCAGGTGAGGAGTTTAGGAGAGTCCAATCTTAACTAGGCTTATATCTGAAAGTCTTGTGAGAGCAAACTTTTTAAAATGGGTATTGTCCAGGAATTATAGCAATCAAGATCGTATCTGCTCTGACCTAGATCCAGTGTAGCCTTAATTTTGTGGTAGCAAACAATCAACAGAAGACACAGGGTTTGTAAAATTATTGTCTTATTCAAGGCATCTCCTGGGGTACACCTTAGTGCTGTTACAGAGCACAAAAGCATATAAATATAAATGTATGTATATATATACATATTCACATTAACATAGAAATTTATAAGATGGCATTGTGATTACTAGACAGATTTTTTATTTTTAGGAGATGCATGCTTTACTGTAACTTACTTTTTAAATGGTTAAACCACTTACTCAACCATAAAATATGGCAAAATGTTAACAGCCGAATATAGGTAGTGGATATGTGAGTGATCATTTCACTACTCTTCATTTTTCTGCATTTTAAAAAGCACAACAAAAAGTAGAAAAAAATTATTTAAGAAAAGAAATAAAACACAAGTTGGCTATTAAAAACTACTACTACTTACAGGAGTGGCAGCTATCATCAGGAACGTTAAAGAACATAGAAGGTACCATAGCATGTACAAAAGATGGGTATTCCTATTCACTAATGTCCCTAAATAGAAACATGTTAATTGGAATTTCATAGGAATATAGATAAAATGCTATGGCTAATTTAACTAAAATAGTTAAAATACATATCTCACATTTCCCTAAACAAATCTCATACTTTTACAGAGAAGCCAGTAACTAAAGAGGTATTAGAAAATTAGATGACAGACATGGGAAAGGCTTTTCATTTTTCCAAACAGTTTATCTGTTTCATAATTTCAAATGGTTTACCTGTTTGAAATTACTTAGAGTATCAGGTCATCATAATTATAATACAACTGAAAAGAGCCTCTTTAAAAGACAGTAGTCACAAACTGGTTCCCTGTTGGTCAAGACTGCCTGCAATGCATTGGGGCTAACATTTAAACATAAGAAGATTGTGCATAAAAATCTGGGTCCAGGGCCAGGCGCAGTGGCTTACATCTGTAATCCCAGCACTTCGGGAGGCTGAGGCAGGAGGATCACTTGAGTCTTGGGTTCAGGAGTTCAAGACCAGCCTGGGTAACATAGACCCTTGTCTCTACAAAAAATTAAAAAATTAGCCAGGCATGGTGGTGCATGCCTGTAGTCCTAGCTACCTGTGAGACTGAGATAGCAGGATCACTTGAGCCAGAGAGGTTGAGGCTTCAGTAATCCATGACCACACCACTGCATTCCAGCCTGGTGAAGAGTGAGATCCTGTCTCAAAATCAAAAAAAGAAAAAATCTGGGTCCAGTGCCATGTGTGATGGCTCATGACTATGATCCCAGTACTTTGAGAGGCCGAGGCAGGAGAACTGCTGAGGCCAGGAATTTGAGAGCAGCCTAGGTAACAGTGGGACACCCTCTCCACCAGAAAAAAAAATAAAAAAAGAAAGAGAAAGAAAATCTTAGGTCATTTTCAAAAATGTCACTTTTACAGAACAAAGAATATAAACAATGTGGCCAGGTGTGGTGGCTCACACCTGTAATCCCAGCACTTTGGGAGGCCAATGCAGGCAGATTATCTGACCTTAGGTATTCGAGACCAGCCTGGGCAACAAGGCGAAACCCCATTTCTACGAAAAATACAAAAATTAGCCAAGCATGATGTTGTGCACCTGTGGTCCCACTTACTCGGGAGATTGAGGCAGGAGAATCGCTTGAACCCTGAAGGCAGAGGATGCAGCGAGCCAGGATCATGCCATTGCACTCCAGACTGGGAGACAGAGTGAGACTCTGTCTTGAACAACAACAAAAAAGGAATATAAACAATGCTGTTAAACATTCATTTTTACTGAAGCAACAAAAATTCTAGCTTGTTTTAAAAAACCCTCCTTTCCTTTCTTCAATTATTGAAGTGAACTAGCCAAAATATTCACAATTAAGGATACAGTTAATAAATGCTACAGAAATAATTTCTGGAAGAAACCTACTAAATACACACAAGGTGAAAAACAAGTTTACACTTAGTATCTATGATTGTTTGGGGGGTAGAAATAACCACAGTATCATAGAGAAAATTTCTTATTAATACCAGGGTAAGTCAAAATCCTATCTTCAGAATCAAATTACCCTTTCTAGAAGTCATTAGCATTTGCTGAAGAGACATTTTTTTTCTTTAGGCAGCAGCAATATTGTGGTGTAAAATGATCTATCAAGAAGCAAAATAGCTAACACAATGTGATAATAAATAATTCAGCAAAAAGCTTGAGATCATAAGCAGGTCATAAAGTCATCTCTAATGCCCTCAATATATTCCTTATGTAAATTACTCCTAAAAGAAGTAGACAATTCATATTGGTAATCTCACATCTAAACTCACAAGTCTAAAATATTTGCACCTGAGAGCTCCACATATGCACTACCCATGAGATAAGCAAGGGCATTTTGCAAAGAGATGGCTGCTGCTCTTATCTGAAGTCTTACCTCATCAGGAAGATGAATACAAATTCAGTCAATGTTATCTGCTATATGTTTTAATATAACCACAACCCTACATATACCTGAGGAATGCTTATTTTTCTAATTTTTCTCTTAGTTTCTCTTATGTTTCTATTGAGATTACAAGGTGATTTACTACAAGTGAACACATATGTCAATATATTTAAATATATTTTTCAAAGTACAGTTAGTTGCTACTTGAAAAAAGGATTTTATAAAACTGCTGCCCCAAATGTAATGCCAGCTATATTTAACAGAAGCAGCTAATATTTACTATTTATTATAGTCTAAGCAGTACTCTAAGTGCTTTACATTATTTTCTTGAATAATCTGACAAACTGTCCACGAAGCAGCTATTTTTATTAGCCCTATTTTACAGATGAGGACATTGAAACACAGAGAAGTTAAGTGACTTTCCCAAGGTCACAGAGAACCTGGGTGTGCACTTAAGCAATCTGACTTCAGATATATTTGTTTCAACCACAACATACTATGCTGCCACCCTTTCATCCAATCAAGCCCCTCAAAAATGTGAGAAGTTAGGCCAGGTCCGGTGGCTCACACTCGTAATGCCAGCACTTTGGGAGGCCGAGGCAGGTGGATCACCTGAGGTCAGGAGCTTGAGACCAGTCTGGCCAACATGGTGAAAACCTGTCTCTACCAAAAATACAAAAAATTAGCCAGGCGTGATGGCATATGCTTGTATTGTCAGCTACTGAGGAGGCCAGGAGGCTGAGGCGTGAGAATCACTTGAACCCAGGAACCCGGGAGCTGGAGGTTATAGTGAGCCAAGATCACGCCATTGCATTCCATTGCGCTCTAGCCAGGGTGACAAGAGTGAATCTCTGTCTCAAAAAAAAAAAAAAAAAAAGTGAGAAGAGGGGCCAGGCACAGTGGCTCACACCTATAATCCCAGCATTTCGGGAGGACAAAGCATGAGGGTGGCTTGAGCCCATGAATTCAAGACCAGCCTGAGCAACATAATGAGACCCCATCTCCCCCCAAAATAAAAAAATTAGCTGGGCATGGTGGTGCATACCTGTAGTCCCAGCTACTTAGGAGGCTGAGGTAAGAAGATCACTCGAGCCCAGGAGGTTGAGGTGACAGTGAGCCATGATCAAAAAACAAAAAAACCCAAAGCCAGTCATTTTTTTAAAAGCTTACATTTTGTACATAATTTGTGGATATATGGAACTAAATGACACTGTTTCCCAACGACAGAACATCAGGTTCCTTGGTGTAATAAATTTGGGAATCTTCCATTAAGACAAAGTTAGGGATTTTTACCTATAAGATTTCTCAGGCTATTTAATTAGGTTAATGTATACTATGACTCTCCATGAATGCAATATAGTATGAAGTATTAGTCAAAATGCTGCCAGCACCTAGCAACTTCTAGACCTAAGCAAACTGTTCCAAGGAGAAACATTAAAATGTACTTGTTATCACTACTTATTTTTATATATATATACGTATTCTGGAGATGGAGTTTCCCTCTTGTTGTCCAGGCTGGAATGCAATGGTGCGATCTCGGCTCACTGCAACCTCCACCTCCCGGGTTCAAACAATTCTCCTGCCTCAGCCTCCCGAGTAGCTGGGATTACAGGCATCCACCACCACACCTGGCTAATTTTGTATTTTTAGTAGAGGCGGGGTTTCACCATGTTGGTCAGGCTGGTCTCGAACTCCTGACCTCAGGTAATCCACCCACCTCGGCCTCCCAAAGTGCTGGAATTACAGGGATGAGCCACCATGCTTGGCTCTATTAATACATTTTTAAAAGGTACACAAGAATGTTTATTCCATTACTTTACAGCCAAACACTGTATGTGCTTACCCTAAAGCCAATAACTGAACTAAGTTATAAAGGTATTTAAACGCTTTTAGACTAGGTA